TTTTTTTTTTTTTTTTTTTTAAATCAAACACTTCAATTCATTACACTTCTGGAAAAGAGGCCGGGGACCTCACAATTCAACCCGGGAGTATCTGGCAGCGTCAGCCAGCTTAGCTTACAGGCCTTTGCCTGCGGAACTCATCACTCTGAAGTTCCGAAACTTCTAATTCTCTAATGATGATCAACAGACTGCCGTTACCTGAATCACACCGGTACTTACTTCCCTTGATGGAGAGAGGTCGATTTCCTCTGAGAAAAGTGACTATCTTTTGCCGCTTGTGCTACCACTGGACTACTAACTATTGGTTGGTCCATTCCCTCTATACTACGTCTGGGACTACCGCGGCCCAGAGGACTAAGTTCGGACTCTATGGGCACTCCCCTAAATGGCCCACCGCGGCCCTACAAACCGAGTGCCCTGGTTCAACCAAGGCTCAAACTAACTACTATTGCACAGTTGGGCCGAGGACCCAGACCGCCACCTGCAGCTAAATCACTGAGAGGACCATTCTGCCCTTCTGAGTCTACTTATCCCTGCCTAAATCCAATAACCAGCGAGAGAGAATCAGCCCCTGACTTGAATGGACCGCAGCCAATCGGTTTCCACGGGCCCAGGTGCGCAGAAACCATGTCTTTTGCTTCCTGTTCCCCTTCCAAGCCTTCGTTTTCCTCCTCCAGTCCACCCGGATGGCATGCTTGATACCCGTCTTGATCCTTGTTTTGATCTCGACGTCTGACAAAGGCCTTTTGTCGAACCTTGCCCTGTTCCTGTCTGCCCAGATAACCTCACAGATTATGCCTCTTACTACATGTGCCACGTAGCCCCATCCTTTCTTCCATTGCATCTCGTCAGGCAGAAACCCCAGCAGGACCCAATGTTCGTCCCACTCAGGTTTTCCTGTGTCCATCTCTCTCCAGTGGCGGGCCCACCACTTCCACACCCTTTTAGAGGCCGGGCATTCCCACCACAGATGTCTGGTGGACTCGAACGGCCAGCGACATCTAGAGCACCCCAGTTCTACCACCACACCCCGTCCCAGTAACCAGACAGCGGAGGGGGTTACCATCATAGATAATAACCACAGGATGCTCACTTGCTTTCCATTCGGGAGATCGCAGAGCATCTTCCACAGACGGACAAATTGGCACTCCGTGACTGAAATGCTGTCCCCTAGTACTGCTGTCCATCTGTTCACAGCCACTTCCGAAGGCTTCCTTGACGCTCTGTTGGCTAGTTCGTAACCGATTCTCGAGTTATAACCGGAGAGGTTAACTCGAGTGTCACCCGGCGCGTCCGACTCAGGTCTGTTCCAGTTCCAGGCTAGTGGGTCGATCCGCAGTTGGTTCAGTGCAGAGCGGCCTATCTAAATGATGGCAGGCTGGTTGCCCAGTTTCGGGACTTCCACTATTCTGGCCTGTGGTGGGCTTGTCCATTGCCGGACTGTCTGGTCCTCCAGTCTTGTTAGCTCATTCGTGTGCTCTGCGCATTTCCATTTCTCCACTTTTCTGAACCCGCTTGGTGTGATTTCCTTTATCTTCCACACCACCCTTGCTTCTCCCTCTGCGTCAGGGACGTACCAGGTACCCACTGGGTCTATCCCTTCTGGGCCCAGGATGTTGAGCCACTCCTGAGGAATAGCCTCCCGGATGGCCATCCAATTCTCTTCCACCCTTCGGAGTCCGGACAGACGTGATGTGACTTCAGCAAGAGGTTCCCAGTTCCCCAGCAATGATGACCATAGATCTCGGATACGAGTGACTCCTTTCCTCATCCACGCTAGGCCGAAGGATGCTGTGGCCCCATTTGCGGGGAAAGACTGGCCATCCTGTGCCAGGATCCTTGGGTTTTCGAATAGCTATTGGACCAGGACCTCATCTTTCGTGAGAGGGTTGGATGGTAACTCCGGCGGCAAGTCCTTCCAGGCTCTCATAACGGCTCTCCAAAACTGAGATTTTAGTCGCTTTCTCCTGAATGACTTCATAAAAAAGCAAGCCCAAACATCCTCGGGCCTACTCAGGCCCCATTCCCTCATCAACAGTCTTTCGGCCAAGGTCACCCAGTCTTCCCTCGAATCTGCCATGGCTACCTTGCACAGCCAGCTTCTCAGTTGGGCTTTGTTCTTCCTTGCCGGATCCCACATCCCTAGCCCTCCTTCTTTACGCGAGAAGGAAATCAGTTCCCAAGACACCTTCGTTATGAACCCTTCTTCATTTTTTGATCTCGGCTTCCACAGGAAACGGGCGACCAGTCTGCGTACCGCAGCAAAGACTCCATCTGCGATTTCTCTGACCATGCATACAAACCAGAGTATGGAAAACAGCGCCACGTTTGCCACCAACGCCCGGCCTATAAGCGACAGGTGCCAAGCGGAGCCCCACAGGTTTAGCCTAGCTGCAATCCTGCTCTGAAGCAGGGAACGTTGCGCCGAGGCTTCCGCGTGGAGACTAAGGAGAACCCCTAGGAACCTTTCCTCCTCTCCCTGTTTCACCCTTTTCATCCCCCACTCCACCTCCAGCTCGAATTGGTGCGGTAACAGGTAGTAGGACTCGGTCCAGTTCACTGAAGCTTCTGACAGCACCGAGTACTCTTGCATAGTCTCCTTTAATGTTGTGAGAGCTGGCACTGCGTTCTCACAGACGGTGAAGAGGTCGTCCGCAAGAGCCTTCACCTTACACTCCACTGCGTCGTGTAATCGAAGGCCTCTAATCTGTGGGTGTCTTCTGATGCAGTTCAGGAGCACCTCCATCTGTAGCACGAACAGCAGCGGAGCAAGTGGGCAGCCCTGGCGCAGTGACCTTGACAATCTGAAGGAGGAAGAGAGGAAGCCGTTTACCATGACGGCTGATGTTGACAAAGTGTACAGCGCAACCACCCACTTGCAGAAGCCCTCGCCAAAGCCCATGTGTCTTAGCGTGGTCATGACAAATGTCCACCCCACCTTATCGTATGCTTTCTCCAGGTCGATCAGGAGAATTGCAGTGTTGAGGTCCTCCGCTTGCACTACCTTTAGAACCTCAACAACAGTTACTATATTGTTGAAGATTGATCGTCTGCGCACAAAGGCACCTTGGTCCTTTTCCACCAGCGAAGGTAAGTGGTGTCCCAGTCTCCTTGCAAGCGTCTTGGCCAGAATCTTGTATGAGACGTTCAACAAGGAGATAGGGCGCCAGTTCCTTACCTCCGCCTTGTCCCCTTTCTTGAACAGCAACGAGATTACTCCATGTGTCATCCGTTTACCCAATTTGCCTCCTGTCAACACTCCATTATATACTTCTACTAACGGCGGCCCCATTACCCCCCAGCATTGAGAGTAGAACTCTACTGTCAGGCCGTCCATCCCAGGGGATTTCCCACGGGCCATGGACTTTAGCGTTTGGGTGGTCTCCTCCAATGTGATTGGCCTGTCTAGATCCAACTTGGCCGGAGTTGCAACTTTCACACTTGTGTCTTCCCAAATGTTGGAAATCGTCGTGAGATCTGTGGTGATCTCATCCTGTGGGCGCCGAGTTGTGAGTATATCTTCATAGTAGAGTCTGGCGTGTTCTAACATTCCTGCTGCCAAGGAAGCTGCTGGAGCGGCTCCGTCGAATGGATGTTTTAGTTCCACCATTTGCTGTGCTGATCGTCTTGGTAGAAGACTCTGGAAAGACTCTTTGCTCATCTTATCGTTGGTTTCGATGCCCTTCTCTTTGAGCAACTCTGCCCATCGTCGTTCTTTTGCTAGCTTTAGGTTCTCCCATATTGCCAACCGCCTCTCCCTCTCCGCTGCCCAGGCTAGGGCCGATATCGGATGCCGTTCCATTCTTTCCTCCGCTTCTTCCACTCTCCGTTTGCACTCCGCTTCCTCCTTGTTCTTGGATCTGGCCAGGATCTTCGAGCAGACGTTCAGGACACTTGAGATGATGGCCATACCCTCATCCATCCACTCTTCTGGTGATGGGAACAAGTGTTTAGTCTCTTCCCAATCCTTCAAGTGCTGTCCTACCCACTCTATTAGTCCTGCATCCTCGAGGTTCTGTGCATTCAGCCGGAAGAAGCCTCCCCCTCGCTCCATGCCTATCCGTAACTTGACTTCCGCAGTTACCGGTTTGTGATCCGAAAGCGGGTTACACGTCTGTTTGACCGCTGTTACCCCTTCTAACACCGGGCTGGCTACTAAGAAATAATCCAGCCTCCTCCTCTCCACTGTGCCTCTCTCCCTTTGGATGTGTGAGACCCAAGTCTAACATGGATCATCCGGAGAGAGAAGCCTGTATGAATCTGATAGATTTAGTTTTGTTATCAACTCTATCAGGGTCCAAACGTCCTTTCTTCCAGCAATGCGCGAGTTCGGTTTCAGTGCTTCGTCTAGCGACAGATTCCAGTCCCCTGCGATGATCAGGTTCTCCATTTTTGGGATGTGCGAAATCAGGTTTGCAAAAAATCTGGCCCGCTTTTCGAGGTCCGTGGGCACGTACACAGTCATCAACACCCACTCCTTGTCCCCTGACTCCAACCTGACCCATGCCCACCTGCCCCAAATGTCCACCTATGATTCGACGACCCTCATCTGCAGATCCTGGTGTAACAATATTCCCACCCCTCCTCTCGTCCCTTGTGCCGGCGCCCAGACCTGTGGTCCTTCCCACCAGCTCCCCATCGCTTCTAACTTTTCCTCGTCTAACTTTGATTCCTGCACCAGGAGGCAGTTCACCTTTCGATCGTGTATCCAGCTCTTGACGCGTCTTCGTTTCTGTCTGTTGTTTGTGTCCCCCAACCCTTGCAGGTTCCAGGTTGCAATCTTGAGTTTATCCATGAATTCGTTGTTCTTCCGCCTGTTCTTGGATGCGGGTTGGGTCTGTTTGGTCCGTGTGTTCGATCTGATCCGATTGTTGTTGGTTCACCACCGCTGCTCTGTCCGACGTTTCCTGCGCCTGCACCATGGACTGCGAATGGGGTTTGTTTCTCGAGCTACCCCTTGAGGAACTCGCACATGAGCGGACTGCCCAGTCCCTTGTCAACCTTGTCGTTATGAATTCTGATTGCAGCGTTTCTTCAGCTGGCAATCTCTCGTTCACATACAGCAGGATCAGCGCACTGATGTTGTGGAAAACTTGGATCTGCTCCAGTTCCTGGGCTCCCCGCTCTCTCACCACATCCGTGTTGTACCATTTGACGCCTGATTGCGTCATTGCCTCTGCATACTCCTGTGGAATTCGTGCAGTCTCACAGGTGAGGTTGACCATAACTGCACTTGGGATTATCCTGATTGGGATGTGCTCCCCATACAGCTTCCTGGTTGTCTTCATGATCACTGAAGGGGTAGGTGTTCTGTTCACTTCCTCAGATGGAATGTGTGGGCTAGGTGCCCTCCCTCGCTTTGGCACATACCAGGGGCACCATTCTTCGCTTGACAGACCCCACTTGACTTCTGTGGAGTACATCCACCCGCCTGCTACCAGTGAGATCTTGCCTCGCTGCTAGCCCTTCCCCTTCGGCTCGTGGTATCCTAGACTGTGCTGAGCTCTCTATCGAGGACCTCAAGAGTTCTTCACCCAACTGGTCTTCCCCGAGTTCACTACCCATCCTAATATGCGACTGGGACGTGATTGAGGTTGTGGACAGCTCCCTCTGGGGCAAGACAACATGACCCTCTCTGTCCCTGTCTTCCGTGTTGTACCATTTGACGCCTGATTGCGTCATTGCCTCCGCATACTCCTGTGGAATTAGTGCGTCCAACAGGGGGAAGTAGAACTTGACTACCCCCTGTGCAGTCTCACAGGTGAGGTTGACCATAATTGCACTTGGGATTATCCTGATTGGTATGTGCTCCCCATACAGCTTCCTGGTTGTCTTCATGATCACTGAAGGGGTAGGTGTTCTGTTCACTTCCTCAGATGGAATGTATGGGCTGCCTTCACTATTCGTGAGAGCTAAGAAGTAGGTGCCCTCCCTCGCTTTGGCACATACCAGGGGCACCATTCTTCGCTTGACAGACCCCACTTGACTTCTGTGGAGTACATCCACCCGCCTGCTGCCAGTGAGATCTTGCCTCGCTGCTAGCCCTTCCCCTTCGGCTCGTGGTATCCTAGACTGTGCTGAGCTCTCTATCGAGGACCTCGAGAGTTCTTCACCCAACTGGTCTTCCCCGAGTTCACTACCCATCCTAATATGTGATTGGGATGTGATTGAGGTTGTGGACAGCTCCCTCTGGGGCAAGACAACATGACCCTCTCTTTCACTGTCTCCTTTTCTTTCCCCTTCCCATCGACCCCCCACTACCTTCTGTCCAGCGTCAGCAACCTCCATCTGTCCCATGGCTTCCCCTTGCCCATCTTGTATCAAATGTCCGCCTGTTGGCCCGCTCTCTCCCATCATACTCCGTGTCTTGCTGTCTCCTTGTTTCTTCCTCTACCCAGGCCCTCCAAGAAGTGCCATTCCTTCGTCTATGTCCCAGCATTGTTTGTTCCATCTTTGCAAACCCTGGCCTGCCCTGAGGCCACACCAACTGGGATTGTGTTGCCGCCCCTTGCTGTTGTTGTTGCGCTAGTGCTCTCCAATCAAAGGAGGAGGGCGAGGGGTATCTGGGCCGAGGTTGGTCTGGGGCAGTCAGCGGTGTACAGTGGTGCATTGGTGGGGCAAAGCCCTGCCAGTTGTTCCCGTGGTCATCGTACCAGTTCTCTTGCTGTCTGAAAGGTGCCTCCGGTGGATGTTGTGCCTGTCCGTGCATGATCTGGTGCTCTTGATGGTGATTGGGGTGGGGGTGCAGATGTGTCGGCCACTCAGGCTCCCTGCGTTCCATGAGCATCACCGCTTCTTCTGGGATTGGTCCTATAGGCCAGTCCCTCCTGTTAGCCCATGAATGTTGGCGTTCCCCTTGGAAGTGCCTGTGACTGGCATACTACGAACTGTTTGCCATACCCCTTGCTGGAGCGCCGGTAGAGCTTGGTCTTTCGTTAACCTCCAATCTGGCCTGCGGATGTACAGTGCGTGGGGAGACCAGATTGGCAAGACGACTCGTGTGACTCTGTGCTCGGGTCGTAGGTTCCTGACCTTGTGCCCTCTGTGTTGCATTCCCGTTAGACCTCACGTCCTGCGACCCCGACACTCCTTTCTGCCTAGGACCTCGAGACTCAACTGTCGTCGCTTCGCCCCCTGCCGGCTGTTCTATGTTCCTCAAGTGCTGCCGAAACCGTTCTTGATGACCACTCGTTCTTGTACCTCTTTCGTTCCTCCCTTCTGCATCATGTCTGTTCCTTGGACAGTTCTCCTCCGTGTGGAAATACCGCCTGCATTTCCTACACCAATCGGTGTAGGGGGTGGCTATCTCCACTTTCCATCTTTCACCTTTCGGTGATTCAATGATTAGCTCATCGTCTACCTGGAATCTGGCTTCTGGGCGCAGATCCAGTTTTACGTTCATCAGTTTTGGCCTCGTCCGGTCGTATTCTGGGGGGTGCATTTCTACCACCTCCCCAAACATACTACTGACAGTGTCGTGCAAGTAATAGTACGCGTCTAACTGGATTCTCAGCGCAATTATCCAGAAGTTCGTTTCCGCCTCCTGCAGTCTGAGTTCCCAAAGTTCCTGCCTTGGTATCCACGGCTTAAAGGTTGTCAGGTACTCTTTTGGTCCTAACTTCAGCCTCGCTTTTTTTTTCCTCAACAGCCAATCTGCCACTTCCTTCGCCTTTGCCACATAGGAAACCACATTTTGTCCTTCAAAGCGGATTCAACCCCTGCCCATCTCTGGGTTGAAGATCTTGTGAGACATCCAGCCGTCCTCGTGTGCTCTGATCAAGTCCTCTTTGATCTGTCTTGATAGGCGCCTTGCCTCTTCTTGAAAGAACCTGCGTTTGTCTCTGTTGTGTTGACGGGGCGTGTCTGCCTGGATCTTCCATCGTAGCTCTTCGTCCCCTTCCCCCTTGCTGGTTAGCAGCAGTCCTCATTGTTGGCGGAGTGTACCTTCCCTGGTTGCCTGCAGGACCGTCACCTCTGGTGCCTTCCATCCTCTGTCCTCAGCGTGATATCGCTGATCTGCCCAAGGCTCGGTAGGCCTATCGGACTAATCCCTCAATGGGATTGCTGTTGAAGAGATAGGTAGGGAAGAGATAGGTAGGGGGGGAGCAGAGGTAGAGTCGGCGCTACAGAAGGTGGCAAACCAGATCGGTGTACCAACTGAGATCTGTGTACGCTCGCCCAGAGGACCTTGGCGGCTCCCATATGGAAGTCGGCCGTTCCCCCAGCTAGATTTCTGAGACATTACCGGCGCTCCTTTACCTTTCCCCTCACGGTTTCGCCTCCCACTTCACTTCCACCGTAGCATGTACTCAGATCCTACCCATTCAGTGATTGCTTTCCCACGAGATCACTATTGATGATAGCCTATCTTTCATCAGAGTGCTTCCCTCCTGTGCACGACTTTCGAGATGTATCTGGACTTCTCTCTAATCCTTAGTACATTCAAGGATGTTCGAACAGAGCCATACCCGCATGCATCTGCCGCATTCAAGTCCAGCTGCCTATTGGTCGTCGTCCCATCGGCCGTCAGCACGGTGTGACGTTTTAGCTCCACTCGCCCACGCACAAGCGTGCCGGAAGCAAGCTTGCCTTCGCTGGGGCACGACTCTTCTCTATTACCGCGCGCAAGAAAGGAACTCACCTTAGCTGGAGATAGAACCGACGACGGTACTTGTGCACGAAGTGCCACACTTAGCTTTACTCACCCACGCGCAAGAAAGGAACTCACCTTAGCTGGAGCACGGTTCTTCCCTATTACCACACGCCAAGGCCTTTACCCGTACGCAAAGTGAGGGAGAGAGCCGAAGACGACACCGTGCACGGAGTGCCTCACTCGCGCTCAGAATCCTTTGCCCGCACGCAAAGGGAGAAAACCTAAGATCATAGCCTATCGTCCATCGGAGTACCTCACTCCCGTGCACAGCATTCGAAATGAATTGAATCTCTTCACTCTAATTCTAATCCCTTCAAAAGTGCTCAATCAGAGCCATAACCCGAATGCATCCGCCACATTCAAGTCCAGATTGGTCCTCCTCCCATCGACCGTCGACACGAAGTCACGTTTGGTTCCTCTCACCCACTTACAAGCGCACCGAAAACAAAGTTCGCCTTAGCTGTAACACGGCTCCTCTCTATTACCGCGCGCAGGCGCCTTTCCCCGCACTCGAAACTAGAGAGAACACTCTTCAGGTGTTCGGACGAGCCTAGCACTTGCGTCCCCAGGAATTTGAGCGGAAAGTGACATGCTTTTCCTCCCTACTGCGGCAGCTTCCACTACTGCACTTTACCTTACCGCCGGGGCTTGATTCCATGTCCATGGTGAACAGTTCGGGCAGTGCTATCTACTCTTCTGCCCTGCGATCTTGCGTTCGAATTACACCAACCAAATGAAGGCAGGTAGTAACCTCCGCTTCCTTACCTGTGCTATGGTCAAGTGACGGACTGCGTCTTCCTGGTTGTTGGGATGTGACGGGGCACTACCCGTGATAGGCATACTCAGTTTGGTTCTGGTCTGCTATCCTGCATCCGAGGGATACTGTAACTATGCGGTGGAGTTCCCATTCGCTATGGACTCCCAAGCTTTTACTGCACTACCACGGTGAAACAGCTATGGTGAAAAACCCTAAACTACCGGAGGCCTAGAACTGTCCGAGCGGAGCACCGCCGAGGCCTAGCCTCCTTCCTCGTTGCGGGAAGTGCAGACACTCGCTTCCGTTCTCCGTCGCGACGGCGGAGGGGACGGTCGGACAGCGCATCGCACCGAGGTGAGAGGGCGACGCCGCTTTCCGGAGCGCTACGCTACTCGCCCGGAACCGGCGTTCTCTCTAGTTGCTACCGGGTATTTCTTTTTGCGGGCCTCCTGAACAACTTTTGCCTCAGGGTTATATCGAAATTCTTCACCAAAAAAAAAAAGTAAAAATAATAATAATAATAACTCTTTTTTTTTTCTTTTTTTTTTGGCCCAGCCGGGCAAGTGACCCCGGGCCACTGTGGTAGCCTAGCTTACATCATAATTACCGTCTTCATCCCTGAATAGAACGCCCAGTCATTTCAAGCGTATCTGTTGGAACTTTCAGTCTAAATACATCAGCGATAATGAGCATGCGAACAAGTGATGCAAGCATAGAAGAAACTGAACACGTTGCCAAGTGTGAGAAGTGGAGACCCACGAGTCCTTCGGGTTGTGATATCCGTTAAAAAAAACGGAATGATACGGACAAAGAGAAGAAGATTAGCACAAATCCAAAAAAAGACCAAGGCACGCAAGTGTATATACGGACAAAAAGACCAAGACGCACTTGCGTATCATATACAATTGCGTGCCTTGGTCTTTTTTTTGGATTTGTGCGTATCATATACAGTTGCGTGCCATGGCCCGTGCACAAGCAAGCATGTATATGATACGCACAGCGGCACAAATCCGAAAAAAGACCAAGGCACGCAAGTGTATATGATACGCAAGTGGGTCTTGGGGGTTCAATCCCCATTGGCCTCATGGACCTTGCTGGGCAAGCTTGGCGCCCGCCACCTAGAGAAATGCCGGTGGTGGTCCCCCCGAGTGGCATTGAGCAGAAACTGGCGATGGTCATAGGGGGGAGGGGACCACCACCGGAGGGGGAGGCACAGTGTGACTGGCCCATCGAAGAAGCAAAGCTTGGTCCTAATGCTATACCTACCGGCTGACCCCTGGCTGGTATCGCCCATCTGCTGTAGCACAGGGTATCGTCGCAGCACCTGCTGATGGGTGCAGCTCCCGCATGTTCCCTTCGTTGGAGGCTTGAGCACGGATGTGGCTGCTATGGGGATCTTCCCCGTAATAATACTATAATGACACACACAAAAAAAAAAGGCCTGGAAAGGCCGTGCTGTCCAGATTCGACAGGTAATTGATTTTTTTTTATTTTTTTTTTGGTAATTGAATTGGTTGGGCTTAAAGAATTAGCCTTTAAAAAAAAAAAAAAAAGAAGAAGAAGAAAAAGAAGAAGTGGTTCAAGCCTGGATAAGTGATGTAAGGCAGACCTGAACACGTGGCTCAGGACATACTCCACACTAGGGACTTCCCTGGATGTATATGACCGCTTTTCGGACCCGGGGTCGATGCACCTGACCGTGTTTACTTCCACAGAGAAGTGTGAGTATGCGTCCACCTCCGTGTTTATTTGGTGACGTCAGTCTGTATTCGGTGACACAGAGATGCTAACCTCGTTTTCGAATTGACCAGCCCAGGTAACTCAGAATTTCACTTTATTTGGTGACGTCATCTGGCTGCATCGGGACTGGAACTCCGGTCCGTATTTTTCAACAATCCTTGGGTGTACCAACTGTGAGCTAGGCCCGTGGGTACCTAAGCCAAAAACAGTGCGGAGCCAAAAACTGTGCAGTGCTCTCCACAGTTCATTTTTGGCTTTAGGTCAGCATCTCTGTCACCCGATCCCGACTGATGTCTTACGTCTACTGAAGAAGGAGAGCTCCCCTGTTTTTTTTTCCCTTTTCCTTTTGCTATTTGAGCTCCCCCCCCTTTTTTTTTTTTTCCTTTTCCTTTTTGAGCTCCCTGTTTTGCCTCCCTGTTTTGCCTTAGGTCAGCATCTCTGGCATCGTAGTTTTTTGGCGACGTCAGTCTACATAAGATGATGGTGGCTAGTCTATTTGTACGCAAGAGGTTCTGAACAGGGGGAGTTATAAGGAAGACGATAAAAAACTGAATTCATTTTTTCTTGTTTTTTTCTTTTTCTTTTTTTGTTTTCCTTCTTTTTTTTCGCATTTGCGCTCTGATATTCTTGTGACTATATACAGTGTGACAATATATATATATATATATATCACTGACGATATATATATCACTCGTATACTAACTCATATATAACTCGTATATAACTCGTATACTAACTCGTATATAACTCGTATACTATCTTTAGGTGTTGTACATGCTCCCCCGAAATCCTCGAGATAGACAAGGATAAATTTATTTAAGTAGTCAACAAAAAACTGAGATAGACAAGGATAAACTTGTCTAAGTAGTCGATAAAAAAAAAAAAAAAAAAAAAAAAAAGACTTTGTTCATAACGTTCAGAAATGTACCCGGCCGCATTACAGAGCGTAAAAGACGTCATCACAAACTCATATAGGGAATACCTTTGTCTAGAATGCACCACAAACTCGTATAGGCAGTACCTGGTCTAAAATTGCAGTCTTTTGTTGATGGTCAGGTCTTTTTGGTCGTTTAGGCCATGTGGTGAGGACCTGCCCTGTCCTTGAGGAAATAGAATGGCTATCTGTACACCCCTTTTTTTTTTGTAGGTGCTGACCATCTTTTGGGGTGCTTTTACAATGGCTGATAGAATGGCATTTTCGATGCCTGTGGCTGATGGGATGGCGTTTACGATGGGGGATGGAATATGTCCATCGTGTGGTTTGACCTTTACAATGCCCAGAAGGCCGATGGTCCGGTCTGATTGTCACAGGCTTGCTAATCTGGTCCCTGACCATGAGGCGGTTCACTAATTTTTTCACTCACCTGGTCTGATTTTTAGGCGCTGATTCACTATTTTTTTCACTGATCTGGTCCTCCTGACCATGAGGCGGTTCACTAATTTTTTGACTCACCTGGTCTGATTTTTAGTTGCTGATTCACTATTTTTTCACTAATCTGGTCCCCCTGACCATGAGGTGGTTCACTAATTTTTTCACTCACCTGGTCTGATTTGTAGGCGCTGATTCACTATTTTTTCAACTAATGTGGTCCCCCTGACCATGAGGCGGTTCTTTTTCGCTCAGCTGGTCTGATTTTTAGTCGCGGATTCACTAATTTTTCACTAATCTGGTCCCCCTGACCATGAGGCGGTTCACTAATTTTTTCACTCACCTGGTCTGGTTTTTAGTCGCTGATTCACTAATTTTTTCACTAATCTGGTCCCCCTGACTATGAGGCGGTTCTTTTTCGCTCACCTGGTCTGATTTTTAGGTGCTGATTCACTATTTTTTTCACTAATCTGGTCCCCCTGACCATGAGGCGGTTCACTAATTTTTTCACTCACCTGGTCTGGTTTTTAGTTGCTGATTCACTAATTTTTTTACTAATCTGGTCCCCCTGACCATGAGGCGGTTCTTTTCCGCTCACCTGGTCTGATTTTTAGGTGCGGATTCACTATTTTTTTCACTAATCTGGTCCCCCTGACCATGAGGCGGTTCACTAATTTTTTCTCTCACCTGGTCTGATTTTTAGGCGCTGATTCACTATTTTTCCCACTAATCTGGTCCCCCTGACCATGAGGCGGTTCACTAATTTTCTAACTCACCTGGTCTGATTTTTAGGCGCTGATTCACTAATTTTTTTCACTAATCTGGTCCCCCTGACCATGAGGCGGTTCAATTTTTTCACTCACCTGGTCTGATTTTTAGGTGCCGATTCACTATTTTTTTCACTAATCTGGTCCCACTGACCATGAGGCGGTCGCTTCCCTAATCTGAAGCTGGTTCGCTGCGAGCAAGCTGGCCCATTGCTAGATCACCTCCTTTTTTCTTTTTTTTTTGTCACACGGGTGCAATGGGGTCCGCCAGGATTTTGCATGCATTGGCGACGTGGCATGTGCTGTTGGCTGGAAGCCACTGTGGTCTGTGATTGTAATGGCTGTGATGAGAAAAGGACAGCTACCGGTAGTTATGGTTTGTGTAGTTCCAAAGCTGATGTCTCTTGGGCTTTCCCCCCATTAAAAGTATGTTGTATTGGGCAAACGGATTCTGCTAAGCAGAGGCAGGTCGCCATGGCAGGCAGGTGTAACTCAATCTCTGGCTTACTCTTCCCTGATGGATAGATATGGTACAAAGTACTGATTTGTTTGAGGCAATTGTATGTGGGACTGTTCTGCGACTGGACTTTTTTTTAATGTGTGTGTGTGTGTGTGTGTGTGTGTGTGTGTGTGTGTGTGTGTGTG